TACTGGCCAGTTCACCCCCCCATCCCAACAGCTAACCTATCGATACCTACGCTATCATTAAAAGAGGGAGAAGATGCCATTGATCCAAAAACTTGAAAGAAATTCTTCGACAATAAAGGTTCACAACACTTACAAGAATATCCTGGAAATGAGATAAAGAAATCTCGAAGATTGGAGAACTTGAAGAAAGTTTGGAGAAGATGAAACTCGCGGGCAGAAATTCACATAGAGGTAAAAGAAAAAAAGAATTTTTCTTGAGAGTAATCTCCTTTTATAGGCAGGAAAGCTTGACCCCAGCCGTCGAATCAAGGTTTAAGCTATCTAACCGTACATTTAGGGACTAAAATCAGAGCCACATATCGCTCCAGACGCTTCGGATCCAATGGTCCAGATCAATGCGTCGGGCGCACGCGCCCTATCACGCCTAGAAAATAAATGGGGAATAGAAGAGACAACCATGGTTACTCATTTAATACAGCAGATGTGGCATGCATTGTGCATTGTACCATCATAATTGCATTTTCTTAGAAACAGCCAACAGCGTCAAATCATTGATGCGCCATCGCCAAGGACTCCTCGTATTTCTAACAAAAAATATTATTCAAATAACAAACTCCTCGTAGTTATCAATCTGAGGCTGTTTGTCAACGGTAGACATTCCCAACCTCTGAAAGGAAAGCACTATGAACTTCGGTTACGTCACTCACCTCGGATACTAGGGACAGAACTCACCAGGTGGATCACTTTGGAAGACGCTAACAGGAAGGTATGCCAAGATTAGAGCCTATTTTCTTCAAGAAATTACATGACACGTAAAAGTCCATGCATTACATGAATAATAATACATAAGCTTGAGGGACTATTGTTACCCCCCCCCCCCCCCCCCACCCCCNAAATCAGAGGCTCCAAGTCAGCACTCCACGTGGACGGCCACATACTCCCTGTAGCCAAATGGACGTAGAGCCAGTTGAAAAGTCAACAGGAAAGTCACCATAGTCAAGGACAACCAAGGATGCAACTGTCCGAGGCATGCGAGTGTCGAGGCTATATTCGTCTGATGTCCCTTTCAACCTAAATAACGAAGGTCTGCTTAAAGCCCTTCAATGCAAGTGTAGAAGTTCATCATGTCCAAAGTACTAAAGCACCGAAGCTCAATTGCACCAGATGTCCATAAACCCAAAGCTGACCTCGACACATGCTAATGTTGACACTCCCTCCCAACAGATTCGGAGATCCATTAGAACTGATTGATGGGACGTCTGTAATAAACTGTGTAGTTCTAATATGTCAATGTCAGCCTACTACTAGCGCGGCTGACCCATTGTCAAACATTGAATGTAATGAGTGGACAGTGATGTGAAACTTTAGTCTAGGAGATGTCGCCATGTGGATCTGATCTAACGATCGCCGCGTCGGCTAGATTAGTATAAATAGCATCTCTTTGTACTAAAAAAGGAGGCGATCGATAAAGGAAAGAACATACTTACATGCTTTGCTTGGTCTTATAAAACACAAGTGAAGAAAAGATATTGACATTCCAACAATATATTATATATTCTCATATCTATCCTTCCACATATTCCATCACAAAAGAGCGATTTAGTTAGGGAAAACGAATTGAGCACTCGTTGATAGCTCGAGTACTGTCTAAATCAAACTGCTGGAGCCTGAACATTTGTGTCTCTTGTCGAAAAGTGCCTCCCGCATTCAAACCAACTAGCTTACCGCTCCTCTTCCAGTAAAAATACGTCGGATCAGTGATTGACGTGGCAAAAGTGGGCCCGACATCTGTTGAGTTCATTTTTTGGGGTCAACACATTTGTCATCTTTGAATTGAAAGATTTCTTAATTATGTGAGTGACATTAATATATACAGAATAGACATTCAAGTTTTAATTTCTTTCTCCAGTTGATTACATATATTTTATAAGCTAAAATGTGAAATAAATTAAATCAAGAGGAAAAGAGATAAAGCCTTAGCATGTGTTTGAGCTACATTTTTTAAAAGAAAAATGCTACTCTACCAGGCTTTGGTTCACAGGTGGGTTACAGGCTCTCTCTCAATGAGGTGGGCCCCACGTGCAATAAAAAATGCCCAAAAAAATACCCACTCCCCCTGAATGTTAGTAACATGGATCGATCCTGTGAGCCACCACCCTGGTAATGTAGCAGGGCTCTTTTTT